GGGAAAATTACAAATGGTCAGAGCCAATACATAGAAGCCTAAAATATACTTGAAAGAAAGGCAGCTATTTTTCAGTTGAGTTAATTAAATTACCAAAAAAAAAAAAAAACCTCATGCAGACTCAGTCGCCACGTTGACATGGTCAGTGTACCCCCTACCCAAACTGTTTAATAACTCCTAATGGGTCTATCTGTAACTGCAACTTCTTGATGACTCGAAGTCTTTAAAGTACACCAGCAATACTCTAAAAATGAAACACACCAGTGATCCTCTAGAAATGACAATAACACCACTGCAGAGCTAATTAGATATTCAGAGGTATGCTTCTCAAAGGGCCTTTCTGATCTCACAGGAGATAAATAAGATGAAGCGCTGAGTTATTCTGTGGGATTATCCTTTAGAATCAAACAGCATTTAAAAATCTTTTCAATACAAATTGAGAAAAGGTTAGTTCAGACAAAATGATGTGCACCAGTGACGCTAGAGAGAAAGAAAAAAAAAAAAAAAAAGCACGCATAGGTGAAATCCTTTTTTTTCTGCCAATTGTGTGCAATTTTGTACAGTGACTTTTACAACTCACATACTCTTGCAAATATTATATAGCAAGGATAACAACTACATTTTAGAACATGTCTCACATCTTGCCTTCTTAAGGAAGAACTCTGGGATAGGCAAAAAAAATGACCCATTAGTACACCCCAAAACCACAAAACACTAGACAGTCAATAACATTTTGAAATTCCTTACCACTTAGGAGAAAAGTCTAATTAAATATTCACAGCCTCATCTTTGTAATTCAAAAGATAACAGCATCTGCTCTGCCAAGGAGGAGGTGTAACAGCAGGGATTACATCATATCCTCTCATCTCTCTGCAGTAAAAGGAAACTACAGTTCCCATCAACCACAGGGAAATGTAGTGAATGTGGACGGGTACACTAGGCCTGTAGCTGTTGAATGTGTCTGAGTCTCGGTCAGCCCACCACTGCAAGTAGCCTCATGACATCACGGATTCCTTTAGAAAGAACTATAGAAGGGATGTGCCAAGACAAGTAACTGGGAGAATAGGAGGCATAGCAGCCACCAGTCTTACAAACCAGAAATTAAAGAGGATTAATGGTTTGATTTGAAAATGAATAGGCTATATCAGAGCAACTACTGAGTGAGCCAGAAGATGGATTACATATTCAGTGAAGGTAGGAAATCAGCAACAAGGACATGTAAAGAAGTTTTTCTCCCAGAGTTATGCTTTAACTCCAAGCTGACTATTTATGAAAAACCATATCCCTTCTTCTAAGCCCATTTGGACATCTAATTAAGGACTAAGTCTAAAGTCATCTGAGGTCATCAAAACCGATGCAGAGGAGGGACAGTCCAATGCCAGAGCAGAGGGGGCACTATTTGCCAGGGAGCTGATGTTTAGACAAGTAAAGTGTTCTACCCATCCCTTAGTTTAAATGAGCAGTTAACCCATTCTGTGCAGACACAGCCCCACTGCACCATAAGACTTTTCATTTTTTGGAGTTCAGCTTGAAATAGAATTCTGTATTCTTTGGCATCTATAATGACAACTATATAAGCCCATTGTAATTTTACTAACTACATTCCATTTTATGATAAATACAGTGTGTCCCAAGGCACACCATTCCAAGCATGCAGATATTTAAATATTTGTTTAGCCACTCTTCATCGTCAAGATGTCATAGGAGCGCAGGTCTGAACATAAAAAATAACCCCCCCACATCTTTCATGATACAATAGGAGCTTCTCCAACAGCTCTCAGGTCTCTTCTGCAGATGTGGTGTGCTACAGAACAGTTTCTATGATGTACACATTCCAGACAGGGTAATAAACGTGTAATTTTTACATTCCAGTTTAAAACAGTTTCTGCACACTCCATGATCAATCTCCTAGAATATAGATCCATCAGCCAAAGATGCAGAAAAGTAATACCATTAACAGCTTGCTGTGAGGTTACGACCATCCGAAGCCAATGTCTTTTGAAAAGTAGAGTGTCATTTGCTGTGGGCTCGCTGGGTTTTAGATCTTCAATCCCGTAGCTGCATCAGGGTGACATTAATCATATTCATACATGGACATAAAACTTCTGTCCCTATTCAGGCTGAGATGTAGGGTACTGCGTTTCCACACATGAGGTTGAATTCACACTCTTCCCACTCCTGCTGCGTTTTGAAATTGCCCATTAGTAGTATGACCCTAAGGTCCTCAATGCTGTCATTACTGCTGCAGAAGTGTGCTGTTAGGCAAACATCTCTACTTCCACAATATTAAACCAGCAAACGTTCTTCCTCAAATGCAAAGATCATCCAGCATCATCCAGGTTAGAGTGCTGTACAGGAAATGTTCTACACAGGATAGGTAAAGTACATAGAAAACATTATAGGAAAAACAAATCCATTAATCTGAATAGGTAAGTTTGGTAGTTGCATATATGTGTTCACAAGTATGAGCACATCTCTGCTGGAAGGGATATTTGCTACTTCCTAAAGGTTATATGGGTAAGCCCACAAATCTGACAGTGTGTTGTAGTCATGCAACAGGAAGGAGTTCCCTCAGTTTTGTGCAAGCCTCCCGTTTGGGGTTAAAAGTGCTTCCATTTAAAGAAGATTGTTCATGGGTATGGCCATGGCTTTTCATTAAGCTGTTCCAGCCACTGTCCCATCCAGACTACAGCTGTCATCCTCACAGCAGACTCGACAGTGGGAGGCAGGGCAGCTGTGGATGGAGGGTAGGAGTGGGAGCTGTCTTGAATTAAAGTGGTTCTAAAGGATCAAGGTTTTTTACCTTCTGTGTGTGCACCCCCCTTCCCCCTCATCCAGCGATCTTCACGATAGCCTTGGATGTATGAGGACTCTCCTTCCTCAATCACAACCAGGGAGCCAATGAGGAGGGGGGAGGGTTTGAGCCGCTGCTTTTAGTGTCTTATAGACGCATAGAGCAGTGGGCTCGGGAGCAAGCATGCAGCGGTGCCTCCCAGAGCAAGGAGATTTATCTGGGGACACTGCTCAAGGGGGAGGAGCAAGGTGCACTGGCGGGGGACAGGAGGAGCAGGCAGGTAAGTAGCAGAAAGTATGACATGTTTGTTATTTTATTTAAAAAAATCAAAGCTGTAGTATCACTTTAACTTTTCAAGGTAACCAGCAGGTGAATGGTTGCTAGGATGCAAGGCAGTCCTAGCAACCAATCACCAGCTTAATATGAAAAGTTAACTTGGGTAGCTCCCCCTCCATTCAGAACTGTTCTTCCCCCCACTCCATCCTACATAAGGTAGGAGAGTGAAGAGGGCTAGGACACGGCTATGAAGGACGAAGGGTGATGTGAATAGGAGCTAAGGACACTTCCTGTGGGAGGGGGAACTGAGAGTTGTGATATGCAGGGAGAACTAAGTGCATTAATATAACAATGAGATTGTAGTATGTGGGGATGTGATGTGAAGCACTGGAGTCATTGGACAAACATGCGATTTGGACCTCTGCGGGAACAACATTTTACTGATCAGACCATTGTGAATTTAAGTTCAGTACCCCTGCTTTTGGGGTATATCTGTGTTTTGATAAAAGTCCCCCAGAGTCTCAAAGAGCAGACAATTGTATGGGGTTGCTTGGCTATAAATGATAGACTCCCCATGTATGTTTGGAGTGCTCTCATAGTGTACACTAGTCTGAAGGTTTACAATATACGGACATCAGAGTATTTCTGTTAGCAGTGGTTTAAAAAAATGTCTTTAAGATGTTTTATGCTTCGGTAAAAAAAACGGAATTCTTTATTATATATATATATAATTTTCTCTAAGATGTCATCATTGTAGAAGAGGTAAACCACAGGGCTGGTGAAAGAGATTTAAACAAATGACAAATATTAAAATGATCAAAACAAAGCAAGTTAACCACCAGACAGCAACTCATTTCCCTGCTTCACTCACATCATATTTTTTTTCTGTACTATGCCATATACCTTTCTATTAAAGTGTTACTAAACCCACAACAGTAAAATCAGTCTGTAATTGCAGTAAAGCATGCTTGTTATACTCACTGTGGAAACCAAGGGGTTATTGCTCTGCATTTGTGTAAAAACGCTGTTTGATCCTGACTTCTCTGATCCTCCCCTTCTTCCAGTGCCCCCCTCATCTCCTGATAAGACAGATCATGTGGAATCACTCTGCACATGCTCAGTTTGGTATGTATTCCTAAAGAGTTTTTTTTTTTCTTGGGAGCGTGCATGTGATCAGCACAAGGCCAATCAGCACTGTCCAGACAAAGGTCAGGGGTTCTGCATCCTCCTAGAGCAGAATGAAAACTCCTCCTACAAGCTTTAACCAGTGTTGAGCTGGACACTGATAGAAGTCACAGGACTACTCTAGCTGCTGATGAGAAAAGGTATTTAGCAGTTTAAATTTACTAAAATAATTGCACTTCCATGTTTTGCTTACTGTGGGAGATCAGATATAGTGAATGCAGGGTCCTCCAGAAGATTTAACCCCCCTTACTGACCAAGCCATTTTTTGTGATACAGTGCTGCGTTACTTTAACTGACAATTGTGCGGTCATGCAACACTGCACCCAAATTAATTTTACGTCCTTTTTTCCCATGAATAGAGCTTTCTTTTGGTGGTATTTGATTGCCTGTGCGTTTGTATTTTTTTACTTTTTGCTATTAAACATATCCAGTAAAAAATTAAAAGAAAAATCAAATTTAGTCATAAATTTAGGCCAAAAAGTATTCTGCTACATGTCTTTGCTAAAAACAAATCCCAATACATGTACATTAATTGGTTTACGTAAAAGTTCTAGCGTTTACAAATGGAGATATATATACTGGAATTTTTGGGGGTGTTTTTTTAAAAGTAATGGCGGCAATCAACGACTTATAGCGGGACTGCGGCGGGCATTCGGAACACTGGGGGGAACTGACTTGGTGTCACTGACATCCCCAGTAACATCAATACAGTGATCAGTGCTAATAAAAAGCACTGCCACTGTACTAATGGCACTGGGCAGGAAGGGGTTAACATGTGGGGCAATCAAAGGGTTAACTGTGTGCTGTTTTACTATGGGGGCTGTGTGTCTGTTTCACTGTAAGCACACTGCTTTGTAAGGCTCTGCTATGCAGAGCCATACAAAGCAGGGTGCAGAAGCTGACAGAGGAGAGATCTGTATTGTTTACATACAGGTCTCTCCCCGGAAATCCTCAGAGATCGCCGCGTGCCAGTAGGGAATCACCGTCTGGGACCCGGTGACTGACAGCCGAGGCCGTGAATGGTGACGCGGGTAAGGCGAGCGCCCCCTATCCGGGACTGCAAAATATATATATATATATATATATATATATATATATATATATATATATATATATCTGTGATTTTGCACACCCATGCCACCCTGTAGCAGTATTTCTGCTATAGGGCGGCACAGAAACGATTAAGGACAACCATTATATCCTTTACATGTACAACATTGTGTGAAATGACTATGACAGGAGATGTCCACAATTCAACTTCAAGGTCTATGCAGACTGCTGGTAATAGCAATAAGCTGGGGGGGGGGGGGGGTCTGGAAATTCTTGGAAGTACTATACAAAAAAGTATTGATCTAATGATTTGACAGTTGGATTCAAGAAATTTTATAGCAGTTCCAGAAAATAAGGGCATCTCTGCAGACTAAAATGGAAAGATTATTTTTATTATAAAAAATATGTATTTGTATTTTTTAGGAGACAAGGAACCATTCTTAGCACATACAGCTGCAAGTATAATAAGCAGCTTGTAGAAACCCATAAACAACTAAATGTGACAGAGACCCCCAGCCTGTGACAATGAAACGACGGCACCTCATTTGGTTGAAAACATCTCGAGACACCAATCCGTGAATGCAAGATGTTTGTGCTGAATTTGTTTTGGGATGATAAAACATGTTTGTACGTTTGGAAAAGCTCCTGACAAGATGGATTATTCATGCCTCTCGTTCATCAACAAATTCACAACATAACAGCCAGTAAAAGGAAGTGTATTTCATTTTGATTATTTCAAATGTTACATTAATGAGAGAGTAAGTGACGGAGCAGGGAGAGATATTAACCAGGGACACTAAATAAGCAGCAAATAGGCTTTTTAAAACAGATTTTAGATAATTCATTTCTTAAAAGCAGTTTGCATGTTGGCTGGTCCCTTGAACGAAGAGATCCCATCTGCCTGCAGCAGCTTCACACATAGCTATTAATCAGGACACAGATCATTAGCCAAGGAAGGTGGTAGAAGATTATTTTATAATTACTTATCTGTCAACATTTTGAGCTCTATCGACCCACTGCTGAAATAGAAATTTTGCCCCAAAATGTAATGTATGTGAAGGGGTGGGAGGCAGTAGCATAATATATAAACAATGTTTACTGTTTGTTTTCCCAGAAGCCCATACTGCTTCAGCATCCTTTCCCGAAGTCTCATCAGTGAACTAGGAACAGAGTCAAACCCCCCAAGAGACTTCATCTAGTGTCTATTTCCAGACAGCCATGTGTGAGTCAGATGTCAGAATTCGTATGGCACCAGCCAATCACTTTTCTGTGAACAGGATAGCCGATCGATCAAGTCTAACAGCTGCAAAAACAAAGTAAAACCACAGCCATATTGAAAAAATTCCAATATGTCGGACATGATTTTCCATATCTACATATGAGGCCAAAACAAACTACCAGACTGCATTCGGCAAAAACTGCAATACAGAAAAAGAAGGTCATTCATACTGTCTTTGAGTGAAAGGTCACCATGTCTACCTTGTCTGACTGCTTATCACAGGTAGTCACCCATGACACAATACTTGCAGGCAGACACCAATACTAAATTAAACTGACAACCATCTGATGCTTCCAGTAGGCAACTAAACATGCCAATGAATACTTTTAGATGTGTCACTGTTGTGGCTGGTGTCCATGCGTGTTTACTATGTATTTATATGCAGGATCCAGCAGGAGAAAAATACTTTAAGATTAGCCCTCAAGAACATACAAATGTATGGCGAACAACAAAGCCACAACAAGTGACACAAGCAGTGAGTCCAGTTAAACTAAAAAACGAATCCTGCCATGACCATGATAGGACCGGAGTGAAGCGTTATGCAATAAGGTCTGGAACATTGCTGAACACCTGTCAAAAAAAGTAAATCCTACCCTATTCAACTCAAAAATAAAGGAAAACATAAATAATAAATATGCTGGATCCAAATAGATTTGTACCCACTATAGTCTTGGATTGCATTGAATAACTGGCAAGGAAAAACAAAAATGGCCTAAATTAAAAAAAAAAAAAAAAAAAAAAGGGGGGGGGGTTACTAGATAAAGTATTGAATTGAATACCCGGTAGGACTGAATCCTACCTAGCTCAGCCCAAAACAGTGGAATGCCTAAATACCAAATCTGATAAAATTAGAAGGCTGTTTATTGTCCACTATGGTTTGGGATAGTGTTGAATGCCTACACTACAAATATGATGGACCAATAAGGATGTGTATCCACTAGTGTCTGGGGGAGCACAGAATACCAGGAAGGGGACAGGGTCCTGCTTAACTCAATCCAACACAGAAGAATGCCTATTTACCTACTACAGCTCCTTGAGGAGCAAGAAGCAATTTCTGCATCTCAGACAAGTTCCCACTGACACCATTGATCTTTTTTAGCGATCTGTAAGGGGTAATTCTTCCCAATGACCATCACACTACTATATGATGAGTTGTAGTTAATAGTAATTTTAGTAGGTTCCGAGACCAGAAAGTTATTTTAATGTCTGGGGCAGCAATGAGTAACAGGGAACTGAATCCAACCCAACCCAACACTGAATGGCTGCATATACACTCAATGGCCTGTTTATTAGGCACACCTGTTCAATTGCTTAGTAACACAAATTACTAGTCAGCCAATCACATGGCAGCAACTCAATGCTTTTTGGCATGTAGATGTGGTCAAGACAAATTTCTGAAGTGCATACCGAGCATCAGAATGGGGAGGAAAGGGGATTTAAGTGACTTTGAACATGGCATGGTTGCTGTGGTGCCAGACAGGCTGGTCTGAGTATTTCAAAAACTACTGATCTACTGGAATTTTCAGGCACAAACCATCTCTACGGTTTACGGAGAATGGTCTGAAAGAGAAAATATCCAGTGAGTGGCAGTTGTGTGGACGAAAATGTCTTGTTGATGTCAGAGGAGAATGGGCAAACTGCTTCGACATGATAGAAAGGCAACAGTAACTCAAATAACTACTCGTTACAACTAAGGTATGCAGAATACCATCTCTGAATGCATAACACATTAAACCTTGAAGCAGATGGGCTACAGCAGCAAAAGACCACACCAGGTGCCACTGACAGCTGAGAACATGAAACAGAGGCTACAATTTGCACAGGGTAACCAAAACTGGACAATAGAAGACTGGAAAAATGTTGCCTGGTCTGATGAGTCTTGATTTCAGCTTCAATATTCAGGTAGTAGGGCCAGAATTTGGCATAAACTACATGAAAGCATGGATTCATCCTGCCTTGTATCAACAGTTCAGCCTCGTGGTGGTGGTGTAATGGTGTGGGGGATATTTTCTTGGCACACTTCGGGATCCTTAGTACCAATTGAGCATCATTTAAATGCCAAGGTCTACCTGAGTATTGTTGCTGACCATATATATCCCTTTATGACTGCAGTGTACCCATCTTCAGATGGCTACTTCCAGCAGGATAATCCACCATGTCACAAAGCTCCAATCATCTCAAACTGGTTTCTTTGAACATGACAATGAGTTCACTGTACTCCAATGGCCTCCACAGTCACCAGATCTCAATCCAATAGAGCACCTTTGGGATGTGGTGGAATGGGAGATTCGCATCATGGATGTGCAGCCGACAAAACTTCAGCAACTGAGTTATGCTATCATGTCAACATTGACCAAAATCTCTGAGGAATGTTTCCAACACATTGTTGAATCTATGCCACAAATAATTAGGGCAGTTCTGAAGAAAAAAAGAGGGTCCAACCCGGTACTAGCAAGGTGTACCTACCTAATAAAGTGACTGGTGAGTGTACATTCAATTCTGGACATTACTAGGGCTCAAGGGAAAACTGAACACAGGAAAAGGAGCGTGGGCTGAAAGCCCCATTTCCAGTGTGTTTTCAAGGTTTCCCTAGCTGTACATAAGCAAAAAACAATGCATAGAACAATGCAGCAACCACAATTCATCCTGAATCTAGTTTTATTAACTGTTTGGAGCCAAGCCAAAAAAAAAAACCTGTGACCCATTTTTGAGATAAATACACACTAAAGGATTGATAGAGGTCTTTTATAAAATCACCAAACTAATATTTCTGCACACAGATCACAAAGGAGAGATGTGCAAGAATAAATCTGGTACAATCCTGCACAAATATTAAAAACAAAGACAGCAATTCATAATGGCAGAAGGATTTGTCATATATCGTAATGTATGTATCATCAACTAAACCAAGCTATGTGAGCTATACAAAGGATGATTCAACAACTGCCTGTAATGGATTCACCTGTGATAATTGCACAGACGACAGCTAGAATGCACCTACAGACATTACATAAAAATGAGCAGAGTCTAGTAACTTAATGTACATGTACAGTATAGACGCCCAGAAGGTGATAAAGACGTCATCATATAGATTCAGCAAACCAGTCTGGGGGGAAACCTCTATTATCAGATATGTGATGTTATAAAATATGCCTTAAAAGGAAATTATAACTGTTGAGAATGTTTTATTTAAAGCAGAATTCCAGCTAAAGCCTAACTAGTCTTAAAAATGTACCCTCCCCTTCCCAACACCTTTACTAACTAACCTGTGTGAAAAAATAAATAATAAATGTATATACTTACCTATTTTCAGCCCTCTCCAGTCTGGTCATGTGATGCCCTGTTTCAGCTTGTTTCCTACAATGGAAAATGGCTTGGAAAGCTGAGAGTTATGACATCATCCATGCTGCAGCCCTTGTCGCTGGTCCCTCCTCTCCCCTGCAGCTGGCTGACACAGGGGAGCTGGATCACATAACTGCACTAGAGCAGGCTGAAAATAGATCAGTATATAACTTTTTGCACAGGTTAGTCAGTACAGGTGTATTT